TCTAGGAAAGTATTTATAAAAACTTGAAGAATCTTACTTTTTTCAAAGAGATGAGCAAATAATCTCCAAAGGTGGTGAGGGTCTGAAAAGAAGGCACAATTCACTCCAAGTTCATAAAAAGAAATTTGAGAGCTTAACGTCCTTTGACCGAATTGAGCTAAATGTTGTGTCCTTGATTTCAAATATTTTGATTCAAAGGATATGAAATCATCTTTCTTCAACCTAAAATACGAGCAAAGTGTTGGAAAAGAAGCATACATAGACGATTAGTTTAACTCAGGTAATACTATTTCAAACCTTCTCTGTTGTAATATATTTATGTGGCTATGAAAATATCTCAGACTTTGTTTAACCTTCTCAATCTTCTGGACCTTGTTGGTAATATATTTAGGTACATATTCTTAGCATACTCACGCATGTGTAATCCTCCAGAGTCAACTGCGACACACCCTCAAGTCCCGGTAATAGCTTTGTCATATTTCTAACTGCAATAGTGAAACACTTTGAATTTAATTTATGTTGAGCTATGATGATATATTCACATACGAGTGACTTTACAGTTGATCTTATGAGTCATATATCGTTAATATTCATGGTGCATGCGAAATCAATTCATTGATGGGTCACATTTAAATTTTAACCGGGTTGGGAAAAGAAAGCATTGATAACAGTTGACACTTTGAATTTTAACACAATCTTGAAATTGGATCTTAAAATGAATACCGGAAACAAAAAAACATATTTCAATCTTGGCGTCAGGATAAAATAAAATGCTTGTTTTACATATATCCTCAGCTGAAATGTAAAAAATGTTGGAATTATAGAGTATTTATATAATTTTGATTTATGATTATATAATTAATATCATTAAGATATGGTGTTTGATATTAATTGTAAGTAAGAAAAGAAGAAGTTAATGTTTGTGTTTTTTAGACTTTTAAGATAACTATTGTAGTTATTTCCAAAGATAACTATCAAGTAGTTCTGTTTCATAATCTCTTCCAATAAGTTCTTCTATATAGGATTTATGTTTTATTATGGATGATGAAATTTTGGTTCTAACATAATAATTAAATACACATCAAAGTAAAAAAAATATTTGTAAAACTATTTTTTCTTTAAAGCAATAACAACACATAACAAAATTTACTTTATGTTCTTATTAGATATTAATTCATAAAGTATAAAATATCGTTGTCAATCTTTTTTGTATCTTTAAGATAAATTTTATGGTATTGTATGCTGTTATTACAAGGGATGAAATATTACTTTTAGAAAAGTATGTATTCATGTCTAAAAAATCATATCACTAAGTCTCAATTGTTATAAATTTTATTTTCCTTATTTACTTAAAAGTTATAACTTTCTACGCTTCATCGGTTTCATATGCTTGTAGCCACCATTGGAGTCTTGAGTGAATATGATATATGATATGATATATATGATAAAGAAATTAGGGGGAGGAATTTGGTATATAGCTAGCAGTTGAAATAGTCATTATATAAAGCTTAAGTTTTAAGTTAAATATACACATTGATATTCTATATTATAATTTTAATATATATGTCTTCTTGTACTACACTTGTTTTACTTTAAATGGGGTGTTAAGAATCAAATTTTAGAACACTTAATCATAAAGATTTATAACTAAGTTCTTTTTCATAATGTTTGAAACATAACCTTTAGAACTGTGATTAACCAAATTATCAGTGTTGAAATAAGATAAGGTCAACTAAATAAAATATATATAAACTTTCAAAAAGAAGAAATAAGCACAGTATCAAAATATTTTTTTCCTTGAAAATAAATAATAATTATTTAATCTTGTCACCAAGTCCGCATGTGATGTTCTAAATACAAACATCGTGAGAACCAAATTCAGTGGACTCACAATTATCATCTATAAAAAGATAATTCATAAAACGTGTAAAGTTAATAGCTTTTGTCTCTATTAGATACATAAATAAACAATTTTTTATTAGAGATAAAATTTAATGAACAAAAGAAAATAAATTTTATGTAATTAGAGATAAAAATTGCTTGTCTCAATAAAAAAAATTTTGTCTTACATCGACTTCATTTAGGTCATTAATAATATCAGTTATATTAATGACAAAATTTAGCTGTTTCAAATATATTTTATCTCTAATTATGTTTTTAATTATTTAACTAAAGTAAAATATGTGTTTGTGACGAAAGTCGAGACAAAAATAATGTGTAGTATAACTTTGTTTTGTCTCTAATTGTGTTTTTAATTAGAATAAATATATTTTTTATATAAAAATTATCTAACCATACATTAACATATTTAATTTATTAATTCAAACAAAATTTCTTGTTAAATTATATTTTGATTATTTTTTGTTTATACCTTTAATATTAACTCAAAATATATTAATTTATTATATAAATAAAAATGACAAGTATTAATAAAAAAATTATTTTAAAATTATAGCTCTTAATTTCAAAACTTTTATTTATCTTTATAATTTATTTTTTATAATAACGTAGAGTGTTATTATTATTTATAAAATTTACTATACTTATTTTTATTTATAAATTTTATTGAAATATAATGGTTGTTATTATTAATACAATCAAACTAAAATAATTTTACTATGCACTTGCAAGTTAATTGATAGTGTACGGGTTAAATATATTAAAGGTACGTTATTTTTTTAACTCCTAGTTGGTTTTAGTTTGTTCTAGAATTATAGTTTCTTGTGGTGAGAGTTCTTGTTAGATTAATCTATGTTTAAAAAATTACAAAATTTAAGAAAAAACTTTTCATGATATCATGTAAACAATGTAAAAGAGATTTGTTTAAATTTATGTTTGAGTCTAATCATCTCTACAAACTTTTTATTTTACTTCCTTCTACTCTTTTGTTTGTCCAATCGTAAAAATATCATGTGCCTGTGTTATTGTGATTTATGTACTTTATGTTTTCAAAATAAATGAGAGAGGTTTTTAAAGTTTAAAATAAAACTTCGTCTAACTTTTTTATAATTCTAATAACTGTTATATCAAACATTACTTTATTAAAACTATTCAACAAGCTACACATGCGAATATAGATTATTTTATTTAAAAAATAATAATTACTAGTCATATGAACTCATAAGTCAATCTAATTTTAAGGTTCTAGTATGTTATGTAATAATCTACATAAATTATCAATCAAAAGGGTAAATAGAGAAAATGCTCAAAGAAAAGTTTGACAACAAATAACCAACTAAAAAATAACAAAATTAAAATAAAATAAAATAAGATTTTTAGCAGATAAAGATGTTAAAACAATTGAGAGATAAAAATAAAAGATAAGACAATAAATTGAAAAGATAATTAGATGCTTAAACAAATAACAAAGAGATAAAGATAACATGTAAACAATGAACAAAATTGGATGAACTTCAAAGAATATGCGAAAGATGACTTGGATTAACAATTTTTTAGAATTTTAAACATATAACCATAAGTCTAAATGATTAAGACAATAAATAAAAAATATTTAAATAAATATTTAATAAAAATAACAAGAATTAAATAATTAAAAAGCACAAAATTTAAAGATCAAGACTGTGAAAAATGAACAATGGGACAGCTTCAAATTCACCCTCTCTAGGATTGAAGTTATAGATGTTATATGTTAAAAATCCATGAATCACTAATACAAATCTTCCAAAGTTGGAATTCACTAAACTCTACGTAGAAAATTTAAATTGCATCACATTCCCTTCGATTTAATAAATAATTAAATAATTAGAGCGCTACCATCAAAGATAATTCATATATAAGTCATGGAGATCATCACAAAAGTTATTACAGGAGATCAAGACTGACGGTGGTTTCAAATAAAATTATGAGAAAATACATTCTCTTGAAACTAATATTCTTAAATTTTTTTATAAAACTTAAAAACTGTTATTTTATGAGTAGCCACATTAAAATAAAATATTTATTAAAAGACTTAATAAAATCACCTTTAGTTTAATCTAGCACAATCCTAATTAAGATAAGCCAATCTTAAACATATTTTAATATGATTTATTCACTTTCTCTTTAAAGAAGAATGACAATGAACAAGGGTTTTATTGGAGAGGATGTAAGGTTTGCATTAAACCTATTGAGTAGGTTTCATGTGTGTTGAACACAAAGACGGGAACTACTTGCTGCCAAAGTTCTACATAGTGAAAGTGTTAGAGAAGATCTTGGACTTTATGCTTCTGAGAGAGGAATTATGTAAACATAAAAATCGAGAAGCAAATTTAAATTTAAGAATACTATATACAAATATTTTGTGGTTAAATTTGATCTCGATGAAGAACATGATAAGGCAATAAATAGGGTTCCATGAATTATATATGGGTGTGCACAGAGACTAGGAAAAACTCCTTGCCAAAGTCAATAGTTAAGGGTCAAACTTCTATAACTCCTAATAAGAAAGAATGTTAGTGTTAAGGAACAATGAAAAAGAAGAAAAATGGACGGATAAAAAGTTTTATTAACTTTTTATTTCTACATGTTAATAATATATTATATATGACTCAAAGGATTAAAGTGACAGATGATAACAAAAGTCAGACTAATATGGAGTTTAAAAGTTCTTAGGAAATAAAATGTCACACTTATACTCTTCAGACTAAATTGAAGGTTTAATAATTTTTTATCTATATTAAAAAAATTCTTCTAAATCAACAAAATTAACCAAATAAAAAAAAGTTGAAAAAGAAATTGACATAAAAAAAAAGATTTTCTAAATCAATAAAATTTTAAAAGTGTACATTAACACACGATGCAACATGTTAATATTTATATTAATAAAATTATATGTTAGTATAATTATGTATCGGTACAAAATCAAAATATTTATACCAACAATTCTATTTTTGTTAGTAAAAATCAATATTAGTAGAAGCTAATTTTAAAATGATATTTTTCTTTTGGCAGCGATACATTGGCCAAGGGAAAGGAAGATCAATTTGCACATTATTTGAAACATGAAAGTAGTAACCGCTGCACGTCAATTGGGTAACTTGATTTCCTACAAAAGCATTTTGGAGAATCTCAGGAACGAAATCAACAATCTGCAACAAAAAAGACAAAGGGTGCAGGAAAATCATACTTGGGATTCTGAGGAATTTCAGGCTAAAAGTAAATGGTTAAAAAAAATTGATGAATTTTTTGTTCAAGTGGGAGTATTTGTGAACTACTATGAAGGAAAAGTTTCTTGCACAAATTTCCTATCGTGGTACAAAGTTAATAAACAAGCCAGAAAGATGATGCAAGAAATGGTACAATTACAAGAAGAAGGTAATCTTTATCTGTTAGTGAAACCACCAAAAGATTATAAGGCCCCAAAATCAAGAGCAGATACAATAAATGATATTATGAAGGCCTTAAAGGACCCTCTTATCCAAACAGTTGGAGTATGGTGGTTAGGTGGTGGAGGCACAACCTTATTAGCCAAACAGGTTGGAGACCAAGCAAAAGAAGAACATAACTTGTTCAAAGTGGTTATCATAGATGTAGCTGAGAAGCCAAGCGTTGAACAAGTTCAAGAAGATGTTGAAGCTATATTGGGTCTCCAGTTTAATGGGGAAATACATGTGGAAAGAAGAAATAGATTGCGTCTTAGAATAAAGAAAGAGAAAAGGATTCTTATCATCATTAATGATATGGGGGGAGAGTTGAATCCTCAAGAATTTGATTTGGATGAAATTGGAGTTCCTTTGGGTGATGAACATAAGGGCTGTAAATTATTGCTAATATCAAAAAGTTTGGATTTCATAAAAAATTTGATGGGTGCTCCTAAGGCTAAGGTGTTTCAACTAGAAGTGTTGCTAGAAGAAGAGGCCCAGAGCTTGTTTGAAAAGATGGTTGGAGGCATTGCTCAAGATTCTGAGGCAAGTTCCATAATAACTGAAATAGTGAAAAGTTGTGAAGGTTTAGCTCCTGCACTTTTTGCTGTAGCCAAGGTATTAGAAAAGAAAGACCTGCATGCTTTGCAACATGCCTTGATGCATCTAAAGGAACATGGTGCACCAATAAGACTATGTCACAATAGTTTAGAGAGCGAAGAACACAAATTCTTGATCTTGATTCTTACCATCAGGGGAAAGAGAGCCGTGAACAAGCATAGTATATATTTAGACATGTGGGAAGGTTTATTAAAAAATCTTGATACATTAGAGGCTGCAAGAAGTAGGTGTGATTCATTAATCAGTGATCTTAAGGCCTATGGTCTTCTGGTTGAAGATGAAAAGGAAACTGTCAAAATAAATTACTTGATATGGCACACTGCTTATTCAATAGCTCAAAGTCATCTAAAAGCTTCAATTATTTCTAAGGAATGGCCACCTGAAGAATGGTTGAGAAGTTTACGCTTCTGCAACATGACTATTGAGAGTGGTGCACAGATTCCTGAAAAGTTGCAGTGTCCTGACATTCAAGAGATTATACTAAGCGCTGACAATCCCTCAATGCAGGTTCCAAATTCATTTTTTTATGAGACTAAGCTTCTGAAACTATTAGAACTTATTGGCTTTGACTGTTTAAAACTACCTTCTAGTTTTGGTTTGTTAAAGAACCTTCAAGCATTATCCATGTATAATTGCGAATTGGGAGACATAACTATAGTTGGTGAGCTCACAAACCTACAAATTCTTGTCCTCCTCGGAAGTAGAATCCAACAATTGCCTAGAGAAATTGGACAGCTTCAGAAGTTGCTAATCTTGGATTTAAGAGACACATATCTCCAGGTGATTCCATCCAATGTTCTGTCAATCTTAACTAGTTTAGAAGAATTGTATTTGAGAAACTCCTTTTGCAATTGGGAGGTTGAAAGATCCAACAGTGAAAACAGAAATGCAAGCTTGAAAGAGCTAACAAACTTGCATCGCTTGGCATATATAGAAGACTTGTATGTTCCTGATCCTGAGGCATGGCCAATGGACCTGTACTTTGAAAAAATGAAATCGTACACGATTTTCATTGGGGATAGGTGGACTGAGACCCATAATGGTGATCATGGGTTAAAAATGTTGATGTCTTATACTTAGATGAACTGAATGGTGGTGTCCAAGATGTTCTGAGTGATTTGGATGAGTTTCCCCATCTACAATCGCTCTTTGTACAAAACAATGTTGAAATCAAATGCATAGCCGTGAGTTCTAGTGATGATCATCACAGTGGTGCTTTCTCCAACTTGGAGTCTTTGTCTCTAAACAATGTAAGCAATTTAAAGCACATATGCCAGGGTCCTCTAAATGAAAAAACTTTCTTCAAAATAAGAGTCATCAAAGTACAGCAATGCCATGAAATGAAATATCTCTTCTCAAATTCAATGACCGAAGGTCTTCCTCATCTTGTTGATTTAGAAGTTTTAGAGTGCAAACTCATTGAGGCAATTGTGGTTGGAGGAGAGGAAATAATAGAGTTTCCTCAATTACGCTCTCTAAGGTTACAAGGACTCCCTGCATTATTATGTTTCTATATGCATTATTCTTACCGTGAACTCGCACTTTTTGATGAAATGGTATGTATATATTTGATGAATTCTCACAAATTACTAATTTTTCTTCTACTGTTTTACCTTTCATTACAATTCGAAAGCTAAATAGTTTCATTTGTTAATTAAGGTGGTAATATAAAATTTAGTGTGTATATGCAGATTTCTTGTCCTAGTTTGGAGAGAATGGTGATTTCCAATACTAGTGTAAGATACATATGGAGTTTTCCATATAATGTTCAAAATTCACTTGGGAGGATAAAGAACCTATACATCGAAGATTGTGAGAATCTGCTGTCCGTTCTTCATTGTTAAATTATAAAGAACACTTTACGGGAGCTGTCGTTGGCGTGGGTGCAGAGTAACATTGTGCGATGTAACATCCTACTTTTTAAATTCCGGTAAATAAATAATAATTTGTAGCAAATCACTTCATTTAGTTTAAAGTAATAATTTAAAATCTTTTTCAACTAAAAATCATAAGAATGAATTAGTTCTTGTCCAAATCGAGTATTCTCAGAAGGGAAAAATTCAAAACTTTTTCTTCCAAATATATTTTAAGCAGTAATTGAATTGAAATTTAACTGTAATTATATAGTATTACCAAATTAAAATAACATAAAATATATAGATTCTTATTTTAAATCACATATGTATTTATATGAAAGCATTCTCTTTACAAACCGTTAACTAATATATATATATATATATATATATATATATATATATATATAACATAAAATACGTAATTCTAAAATATCAGGAATAATTTTTTTTTTTTATAGGCAAAACAAATCTTATTAAAAAGAGTTTAAGGGAAACTCAAAAACTCATATACACAAAAAATTACTTACTCAGAGAAATAAAAAGTAAAAATATACTTATACAAAATTAAGACAGATGCAATTTCGTGGGTTCAAATATCAATCAGCTAACATAATAGCTTCTCCCTTACTAACAAGTGATAACCATTTCTAGGATCTCAGAATAATAGAATCTAGGACTTCCCTCTCATCCAAAACACCATTGAAAAATATAATTCTATTTCTATGCAACCACAAAGACCACACTGTACTTACCCAAATAATTAATAAGCATATTCCTTTTCTTTTACTACAGCCAACACCAACCCAAGAAAGCAAGTGAGTCGATAAATCTGAAGGCAAAACCAGTGAGAATCCAAGCCAACGCGCAGTAAAGTACCAGATTTGAGATGAAACTGAGCACGTTAAAAATAAATGAGTTGGAAGTTCCTCCAAACTATGACAAAAACAACAAGTTATATCATCAATTTGAACACCACGATCAATCAGTAAACCTTTACAAAGAAGTGCATTCAACAACAATTGCCAAGAAAAAACCAGACACTTAAGAGGGACCTTCCCTCTCCATAGCCTTTGCAAGGCATCTGCCGTACACTGATCTACACTATTAGGACCACCAAAAAGTTCAAATAGCCATGAATACGCAGATTGCACTGAATAACAACCTGAAGAATCTACCCTCCATACCCATTTATCTTCTTGTAGTAACTTAATAGAAACTTCATCCACAAGCTCCAACAAAAGATTAAAGCTCGAGATCTCATGTTGAAAGAGTCCTCTTCGCCAACTAACATTCCAAACCCATCTAGTGTCATCATGAAAACCATTCTCCAATACACGTGATTCAGCATTTCTCACCACTGCAAATAATCGCGAAAATGCTTCACACAATCGCACCCCTCCTACCCACTTATCTCTCCAAAAAAGAGTGTGTAAACCTGCACCCACACTTCTATCAAACTTTTCATCCAGCCATGAATTCCCTTGATGAATAACCTCCAGCAAATCACGCCACCACAAAGAACATCTGTTGTGAACTGATGAACGCTGAAGAGAAGAAGCTAATCTTCCATATCTAGATTCCAACACCCGCACCCACAATGAACTAGAACAGTTAACACCTCGCCACAACCATTTACCAAGAAGCGCCCAATTAAATCACTGCACATTCCTAATGCCCAAGTCATCATTCTTCCGCGGTCTACATACAGTTTTCCATTTCACCCAGGGGATTTTAGATTCATCCTTAATACCCTTCCATAAAAAATTATGTTGGATAGTGACAATTTTCTTTATTACCGACTTCAGCACCTTAAAAAATGATAACGAGTGCAATGGCATAGAATTAAGAACGGCATTAATCAAAGTCACCCTACCTCCAATCGATAAATACCTATGCTTCCATGACGCTAACCGCTTTTTAAGAGCCTCTAACACACCCTTCCATGCACTAGGCTTTCTCGGGTTAACACCTAACTGTAACCCGAGATACTTTAATGTGAAACTACCAATCTTACAATGTAGGAACTCCGCAGCCAAGTTTTCAAAGTCATCACCAGTGTTAATCCCCAATACAAAAGATTTATGGAAGTTAATTTTCATACCTGACATTAATTCAAAGCTACGCAATACTGCTTTCAAAGTCCACAAATTCTGCACCGAAGCCTCTCCCATAATCAATGTGTCATCCGCAAACTGCAGCAAAGAAATATCTGATCCCCCTTCCCCAATCGTCACACCAGAGAACAACCCACAAGTCACTGTATTCCGCATAAGAATTTCTAACCCTTTTGCTGCCACAAGAAAAAGAAAAGGGGCAAGAGGATCCCCCTGTTTTAGGCTCCGCTCAATATGAACCTCCAATGTAGGACAACCATTAATCAAAGCTGATAGGCTTCCCCCACACACACAAGCTTCCATCCAACTGACCCATTTATCTGAAAATCCAAAGCTACGTAACATAAACAAAATATATTCTCACTCTATCGAATCATACGCCTTCTCATAATCAAGCTTTAACACAAAACACCTCTTATTATACCTCCGCACATAAGCAACTGCTTCATTAGCTACAAGTACACTATCTAACATGTTCCTTCCCGGGATAAAGACTGATTGTTCTTCTGAAATTATTGAATCCAAAACTCCTTTCAACCTATTTGCCAAAAGCTTGGAAACAATCTTATAAAGACAACCTAATAATGAGATAGGCCGAAAATCAGATATCTGTTGTGGGCAAGACACTTTTGGCACAAGTGCTACAAAATAAGATAATAAAGACCTAGGTAGCTTCCCATTTCTACAAAATTCAGTAAGCATACCCATCACTTCTTCCTTGATCACTCCCCAAAACCTCTTAAGGAACACAAAATTGAAACCATCAGGCCCTGGACTTTTATCACCCTCACACTCCAAAATCATCTTTCTCACTTCCTCCTCCGAAAAAGCATTAACAAGCTCCTCATTCTGTAGAACAGAGACTCTTGGTAAATTATTAATATCAATAGTAGGTCGAAGCCAACTTCTACTACTAAAATGAGCCGCAAAATAGGACATCACACCTGTTTTAATCTCATTAACCTCTTGGTAAAATATCAGGAATAATATTTCATAAGAGCAGTTCAATCCATGTCTAAAATGCTGAGAGTTTGTTCTTAATCTCCGATTACCTCATCTTTTCTTATCATTAAAACATATCAACAAACATCATCTATATATATATATATATATCCACTTACAAAATGAACACATTAATTCGCTAAAGTTTCCATACCACATCCACCTAGTTCTATAACATATCCCATTATTAATTATAATCCAATCACTTCATCTCTCTTACATATACCCATAGCGTATTCAATCTCTTTCATTCTCAATTCATCATAATATGTGATCACATTCTATAGTTGCCTTCAGTATTACATGAGGTCTTACACAATAGGTGAATAGCTGCCGCTGAAGCCATGTATACGGATACAACATATACACTAAAAAGGGTTCTTAGCACAAATACAGTCCAGAGTGTTAGTCAGGAAATGCGTGTGTAGCCATATGATGCATCCACACTTTTATAAATTATGCACGTTTAGCGAATGTCATCTATCACCTGCATTTCCCCTAGAGTGCTGTAGTCGGCTCTTTATTCCATACTCTCAGTGTATCGCTGTGACTATTCACACTAATTTCTTTCTCACTAGTTTATCTATTATTTACAGATCAGCATGTTACAATACACGTATTGTGATCATATAATTTAATGTATTATATAATACATATATTGTGAATACACCCGTTGATGTGTTATAATACCTGTATTACAATCACACTAATTCACAGCTACAATTCTTGCATTATAAACACACATTTCATGATTTCAAATATCCAATTTCATTCGAATACAACAGTACATATACTTTCATGCAAATGATCCATCATTTATTTCATTTCCACATATACTCAGTTTCCAACTAAGTTCAACAACCATATCATCCTACAATTTCCACATAACTTCAAATATAAGCCCAAATCGAATAACATAGTCAATTATATATTTTTTAATATCTCAAAATAATCAATTATCACCCCTTAGACATCTCAAATTTAGGAAAATATACATCATCAACCTATCATACCACTTAATATTTCCATTTATCTCTATATAATCTCACGATAAAAACAAATACTACTGGGGTTTCTAGAGAACCAATATTTCTATGTTCTAATGATAAAATTGAACCTTCTTTACCTCGAGATGAAGATCCAGAAAAAGTTTGATGAAGAGGATCGCACGTGATGAAATTTCTTCCTATACAACACGAGATACCCTTTTAAAATAGAACATGGACAGAAACGATCGGTAAATCTAGATTTAAACTCAAAGAAACTTATTTGGAGTCACTTAGATTGAGTATCCAAGGTAAATCTAGATTTAAACTCAAAGAAACTTACTTGGAGTCACTTAGATTGAAAATGATTTATTTATTCATATTTAAATTTAAGTATTTTATAAAAATAATTAATTCAAATTGAGGATGAATAAATTCTCACTTTTTTTTTCTTTACACACTTTAAAGGAGATAAATTTGATTTATTGCATCTCCATTTTTGGCATAGTCAAATAAAAGCATGGATTTATATATTATAATAATTTAATTTCAAAAAAATAAAAAAAAATATTTTATTTAAATATAATTTTTTATCATGATCTCTTTTATTAAATTTTTTATTTAGTTTGTATTTATACTGACAATTCTATTTTTGTTCAAAAAAATCTATATCAATAGAAGCTAATTTTAAAATGATATATATTTGTTTTGGTAGTGATACGTTAGCCAAGGGAAAAGAAGATCAATTTGCACATTATTTAAAACATGAAAGTAGTAACTGTTGCACGTCAATTGGGTAACTTGATTTCCTACAAAAGCATTTTGGAGAATCTCAGGAACGAAGTCAAGAATCTACAACAAAAAAGACAAAGGGTGCAAGAAAATCTTACTTGTTTGGATTATGAGGAATTCCAGACTAAAAGTAAGTGGTTAAATAAAACTGATGGGTTTTTTAGAGAAGTGAATGAATTTGTAAACTACTATGAAGGAAAAGGTTCTTGCACAAATTTCCTATGGTGGTACAAGGTTAATAAACATGCAAGAAAGATGATGCAAGAAATGTTACAGTTACAAGAAGAAGGTAATCTTCATCTGTTAGTGAAACCACCAAAAGATTATAAGGCCCCAAAATCAAGAGCAGATACTATAAATGATATTATGGAGTCCCTGAAGGACCATCATATCCAAACAGTTGGAGTATGGTGGATAGGTGGTGGAGGCACAACCTTATTAGCCAAACAGGTTGGAGACCAAGCGAAAGAAGAACAAAACTTGTTCAAAGTGGTTATCATAGATGTAGCTGAGAAGCCAAGCATTGAACAAGTTCAAGAAGATATTGAAGCTATATTGGGTCTCCAGTTTAATGGGGAAATGCATGTGGAAAGAAGAAACAGATTGCGTCTTAGAATAAAGAAAGAGAAAAGTATTCTTATCATCATTAATGATATGTGGGGAGAATTGAATCCGCAAGAATTTGATTTGGATGAAATTGGAGTTCCTTTAGGTGATGAACATAAGGGGTGTAAATTATTGCTAATATCAAAAAGTTTGGATTTCATAAAAAATTTGATGGGTGCTCCTAAGGCTAAGGTTTTTCAACTAGAAATGTTGCTAGAAGAAGAGGCCCAGAGCTTGTTTGAAAAGATGGTTGGAGTCATTGCTCAAGATTCTGAGGCAAGCTCCATAATAACTGAAATAGTGAAAAGTTGTGAAGGTTTAGCTCCTGCGATTTTTACTATAGCCAAGGTATTAGAAAAGAAAGACCTGCATGCTTTGCAAGATGCCTTGATGCAGCTAAAGGAACATGTTGCACCAATAAGACTATGTTACAATAGTTTAGAGAGTGAAGAACACAAATTCTTGCTCTTGATTCTTACCATCAGGGGAAAGAGAGCCGTGAACAAGCATAGTATATATTTAGACATGTGGGAAGGTTTATTAAAAAATCTTGATACATTAGAGGCTGCAAGAAGTAGGTGTGATTCATTAATCAGTGATCTTAAGGCCTATGGTCTTCTGGTTGAAGATGAAAAGGAAACTGTCAAAATAAATGACTTGATATGGCACACTGCTTATTCAATAGCTCAAAGTCATCTAAAAGCTTCAATGATTTCTAAAGAATGGCCACCTGAAGAATGGTTGAGAAGTTTACGCTTCTGCAACATGACTATTGAGAGTGGTGCACAGGTTCATGAAAAGTTGCAGTGTCCAGACATTCAAGAGATTATACTAAGCACTGACAATCCCTCAATTCAGGTTCCCAATTCATTTTTTGATGAGACTAAACTTCTGAAAGTATTAAAACTTATTGGTTTTGATTGTTTAAAACTACCTTCTAGTTTTGGTTTGTTAAAGAACCTTCAAGCATTATCCATGTATAATTGCGAATTGGGAGACATAACTATAGTTGGTGAACTCACAAACCTACAAATTCTTGTCCTCCTCGGAAGTAGAATCCAACAATTGCCTAGAGAAATTGGACAGCTTCAGAAGTTGCTAATCTTGGATTTAAGAGACACTTATCTCCAGGTGATTCCATCCAATGTTCTTTCAAACTTAACTAGTTTAGAAGAATTGTATTTGAGAAACTCCTTTTGCAATTGGGAGGTTGAAAGATCCAACAGTGAAAACAGAAATGCAAGCTTGAAAGAGCTAACAAACTTGCATCGCTTGGCATATATAGAAGACTTGTATGTTCCTGATCCTGAAGCATGGCCAATGGACCTGTACTTTGAAAAAATGAAATCGTACACGATTTTCATTGGGGATAGGTGGACTGAGACCCATAATGGTGATCATGGGTTAAAAGTATTGAAACTCAAGCTCAACCAACATTTGCAATTGGAGGATGGGATTGAAAGGATGGTGAAAAATGTTGATGTCTTATACTTAGATGAACTGAATGGTGGTGTCCAAGATGTTCTGAGTGATTTGGATGAGTTTCCCCATCTACAATCGCTCTTTGTACAAAACAATGTTGAAATCAAATGCATAGCCGTGAGTTCTAGTGATGATCATCACAGTGGTGCTTTCTCCAACTTGGAGTCTTTGTCTCTAAACAATGTAAGCAATTTAAAGCACATATGCCAGGGTCCTCTAAATGAAAAAACTTTCTTCAAAATAAGAGTCATCAAAGTACAGCAATGCCATGAAATGAAATATCTCTTCTCAAATTCAATGACCGAAGGTCTTCCTCATCTTGTTGATTTAGAAGTTTTAGAGTGCAAACTCATTGAGGCAATTGTGGTTGGAGGAGAGGAAATAATAGAGTTTCCTCAATTACGCTCTCTAAGGTTACAAGGACTCCCTGCATTATTATGTTTCTATATGCATTATTCTTACCGTGAACTCGCACTTTTTGATGAAATGGTATGTATATATTTGATGAATTCTCACAAATTACTAATTTTTCTTCTACTGTTTTACCTTTCATTACAATTCGAAAGCTAAATAGTTTCATTTGTTAATTAAGGTGGTAATATAAAATTTAGTGTGTATATGCAGATTTCTTGTCCTAGTTTGGAGAGAATGGTGATTTCCAATACTAGTGTAAGATACATATGGAGTTTTCCATATAATGTTCAAAATTCACTTGGGAGGATAAAGAACCTATACATCGAAGATTGTGAGAATCTGCTGTCCGTTTTTCCTCCTCCGTTATCCACAAATCTTCAATATTTAAAGACTTTAGTTGTCAAAAATTGCAGTTCCATAGAATACATTTTCGTTTTGGGTGACGAGCACATTCATCTTCAAAAATTAAGTATCCAATTGATTTGTTTAACTCTACTTCGCCTACCAAAATTGATCAACGTATGTTGTTGGTTTGAAGTTAAGAGAGGTAAATTATTATATTGGAATGATATTTTAAAAGCATGAGAAGCAATTTGAATTGAAAATTTATTTGTAATTACAAAAATGTTATCTTATTTTTATTTTATTTTTTGTATATAAAAATATATTGATCTAGGAAGCTGTAAGAACAATAAAAAAATATTCTTATTTTTGTTACTATAAATATTTAAAAATAAAAAATGCAATAAAAATAAAATGATAATTTTATAATTAAAATAAAAAGCACTTTCTTAAACCAAAAATATCTATAAAAGTAATGTAACATGAATAAGCCTCATATGAAATATATTGTACATTAATTTTAGTGCATGTGTGTGTGAAATCAAATATGAATAGTGACATTCATGATTTTTTCCCTTCAACTTTAGAAAGAAAATGGAAAGGTTTATCTGTAAAAGTGGGTGCATTACAAAGTATAGTAACAAGAAGCAATATTTTCTTTGTGGGAATTTTATTTTATTTTATTGCATTTTATTTTCTTCCTTTAATATGTTGATTTAAAAATATTATTTTTACATATCTTGTTTTATTTATTTATTTATTCTTTTATGCTGAATAATTGGGAGACAATTGACGACTTTTAGATGATCTACCTGTAGTTGGATTTCGATTTGCTGAAATGACCAAAATGCATCTTGAAGACTTGCCATCATTTATAGACTTGATCAATGAAGGCCATGTTGAATGCTTGTCTTTGGAGAATGTTGTTATCAACCACTGCCCCCATTTGCATAAATTTGGTTTGGGAAGTATAGAAAGGTCACAGTTGAAGTCAATGATCATAGACAATCAAGACCAAATTCACAATGATGCCCTAATTAGTCGAGTTTTTTATTTATTGGTTAGATCTCTCTCTCAAAAATCCAATAAATTTTAAATATTAATAAATTTACACTGCATATTTATATTTTATTATATTTTTTTATATATTTTTTTATTTTTAATTTTCATCCAAACTTTAGAAAACAATACGATATCTTTTCTAAATATTCATAAAAAAAAATTTGAAACCAAATTTCTGTAATAGATGATCTAATATATCTATTACTAATATTAAAAATAGAATAGTCATATTTTATTAATCATTTATTTATATTTTAATTTTATATTTTTAATCATGAATGGTTGCTACACATTTAAAATAGAAAATACTTTATACAAATAAGTATATGTATATGTCATTATCTATCTGACTAATATATGTTTAGGATTACACATAAAACTAAATGGATGAAGTAATTTTTTTACTGTAAAGTGTATGTTTATTTTTTTAATATGCAACATTTATTTAATGCTACATTTTCATTGATAGATCGAGGTTATTTCAAATTATTAACATGTGAATTTAAGAGTGATTATCAATTTGTTATAACTAACAGAAGGAGTCTAATACAAATTACAACCAAAATTAGGTTAATAAAAAAAAAGTCATAAACCAATTTGTTACTCTGTTTCCCCTCCTATAGCTATGAGAAATAGTGACTTGCCAATTTCTTTTCCTAAAATTATCAATGGTACTTATAACAGGAGCACATTAAGGATGAGTAATATCCAATTGATAGAACAATAATAATACGTCACAATTTCTACATTATTAATACATTCATGAATCTTAAGTTACAGACAAAATTAAATATCCATCTTTCGTAACAGTCCTTAAAAATTCTAACACAACCAAAAGAATCAGCATCAACTGTTTTTTGAAGCCAAGGTAGTATCAATTTTCAATCCCTAAAATTTGTATTACTGATATTCTGAATTAAACCATCGATATGAATGATAGAAGCAATTATTTTGCAATAGTTAGGTATTAGAATTGGTTAGTCCTTAAAGTTATGTTCGAATTATTTTCACTTGGTTTGTTGTTCAAAGTAATTTACTAAAGCAAGAAAAATCTAACAGGATGAGATGTCAACTATAAGTGAGTTTACTATTGATGGGGATGAGCAATTAAGCAAAGCAGAGGAATTATGTGAACACAAACATTTCTTTCTGACTCACCTTACAATGTTTAAAGCAAAAAATTGCAGCGAAGGAAAACGTTTGTATCTATTTTTACGCTGCTTGGAAGAGAGGTCAGAACTGCTTGAATATATCACCATTGAACACTGCAGAACACAAACATTGCTATTTGGCATCAAGTTTTTTAAAGTCTTTTCCTTGAAGGAATTGGTATTAATGGAATTACCAGACCTGGTGAACATATGGAATACTGATGTCTTTGGTTACGTTAAGCTCGATAATTTGAGAAAGATACACATCAAGAGTTGTCCCTCTCTGATGGAAGTCTTTCCTAAGTTCGTTCCTGAGCTCCCCCGACTGAATGAATTGAAGATTGAAGAATGTGGGAAGTTAACACAAGTTTTTCAACAAGATAGAGCTTCTCATTATCATATTAAACTCCTATCATTGAGCAAGGTGGAGCTTATGTACCTCCCAGACTTAATTATGTTCCATCCCAACAATAAGGATGCAGAATTCCCAGTTTTAGAAACATTGGTGATACAAAAGTGTCCTAAGTTGAAAATGTTCACCCATGGGCTTGCAACTGCATATCATTTGTCGATACACCTTGATTCTTTCTCTAAGTTAAATGAACTCAAGTTGGATAATTGCCACACGTTGGTTTATGTCATTTCCTTTATGACGTCACAACAGTATCCAAAATTGACGAAACTCACTGTAAGTCATTGTAACTCATTGAAAATGATATTCCGCATCATAAAGGAAATATCATATCCTACAGAGCTTTTGCAGCAGCTAACTGAATTGACTTTAATTGACCTACCCAATTTGACTCACATCCTCAACAAAGAAATGGAAGAGAATGAGATCTCCTTTCCTCAGTTGAAGTATGTTTCTCTTGAAAATCTAACAAAGCTCACAACTGTATTTCCTTCTACATCTCAATTTCCATCCTTGGAAACATTGATAATCACAAATTGTCCTGCTCTCATCACTTTTCTTGATGACTCCTTTGAGCAGAAGATTCTCCCAAAACCTGCAACCTCAAACTATTTCTTCCCAAATTCTGTAAGTTTATCAAAATTTAGAATAAAATATTCATTTTCATTATATATATCTCTATATATATATATATAATATATATAATATATAACAATAAATCTTCTCCACTTTTGATATAATCTTATGGTCAATCTCAGTTTTGTATCAAAGTCAAAGTCATCATGTTTATGATGGAAAGAAATTGAATGATGTAATTGTACTACGCTACACAATCAATTACAGTTCATTTCATATTTCCTATGTAGTTTTGTTTTTATCTGCACTCCCTAGACATTGATAATTACCATTTGTTCCTTGCAGCTGTCATTGAACAAGTTGAAAGTACTTTGTATAATAAACCAAGATGTTGAGAAACTCTGGCACTACAATAGCCCCCAAGAATCATTTTGTGAACTGGAAAATCTAACTTTGAGGAACAACAAATTGTTGAATGTCATCTCTTCCAACATGATCAAAAGATATGACAAACTAAAATCTATGACTGTTGATAAATGTGAATTTCTGACAGAGATATTTGACATTGAAGATGACAAGCAAAATCATAATATCCATGAAATGTTTCCTCAACTGAATACATTAGCATTGAGTAACCTAAACAGTTTGACATGTCTCTGGAACAAGGAACCTCAAGTTCCATTTTTCTCAAATTTGATGTCACTTCAAATTGTCCACTGTGATAGCCTCAAAAGTTTATTCTCAACTTCTTCTGCCAAAAATCTTGGAAAACTCAAAATGTTCAAATTGTGTGATTGTGAAAAAATAGAAGAGGTAATATCAATTGATAAAAATGAAAGTGTATCTAAAATTTTCCCTGAAGTAGAATGCCTTGTACTAAAAAATCTTCCAAAGTTAGTCAGTTTTTGTCAGCAAAATGGGACTTTTGAGTGGCCTAAATTACAAACAGTGAGGGTGAGCAATATTCCAAGCATGAAGACATTTTCAGAAGGTCATGTGAACACACCATCGTTAAGATCAGTTTATATAACATTTGTTAAGAAATACTGGCTGGGGAATTTGAATAAGACCATATCATATATTCATCGCAATTCAGGTATGTAAATTTTAATATCACATACAAAACTTCGAATAATATAAAGTTAGTGATACATGTTCATACATAATAACATATGCTTTCTGAAATATGCCTCATGTATGTTCTTAATTTAAATTATTAGATGACAACAATTTTCTTTTGACATTATATTAACATGTTTCTAACTTTTTTGAAAAATGCTAAACTTTAGGATGGGAAAATCTAACTCTGAGCAACAACAATTTGTTGAGTGGCATTTCTTCCAATATGATCACAAGATACAACAATCTAATAAATTTGACTGTGGACAAATGTGAGTTACTAACTGAGGTATTTTATCTTGATGATGACAAACAAGATGAGAATATCAAAGAAATGCTTCCTCAACTAAGGGCAATAACATTGAGCAACCTAAAGAGTTTGACATATGTATGGAACAAGGAACCTCAAGTTCCCTTTTTTCCAAATTTGGTGTCACTCAACATTGTCAATTGTGGTAGCCTCAAGAGTTTATTCTCATGTTCTGCTACCAAAAACCTTGGTAAGCTGAAATTACTCAAATTGTGTAAGTGTAAGAAAATAGAAAAGATATTATCAGATGATAAAGAAGAAAATGTATCCATTATTTTTCCTAAAGTAGAGTGCCTTGTACTCAAAGACCTTCCAAAGTTAATTAGTTTCTGCCAGCAGAATAGAACTATTGATTGGCCAAAATTACAAAAAGTGTATGTGAGCAACATTCCAAGTATGAAGACTTTTTCAAGAGGTCAAGTCAATGCACCATTGTTAAGATCAGTTTATATAACATTCCTTAAGAAATATTGGCTTGGAAATTTGAACAACACCATCTCATATATCCATCACAATGCAGGTATGTAAATTTTAATTATATACTTTGAAATTTAAAAATTATAGATTTAAATATTTTTTAGTCTCTATATTCGTACAAAAATTTCATCTTAGTCTCTTCAAACTTTTTTCTTTTAGTTTTATCTCTTAACCTTTTTATATTCGATCCTTTTTTCTCTAGTAATGACATGATTAATTAAAAAATTATTTTTACCCCTAATAATTACATAACTAATTAAAAGATTGTTATGTATTATTTTTATTGCACCATGTCAATAAGAGAGAATAAAAGTATTGAATTTTAAAAAAATATAAGTTAAAACTAAAAAGAAAATAGAGACTAAAATCGAAATCTCAAATATACATATATATATAAAAGAGTTCAAAACATATTTAAGCCACAATATAACAATAATACATGTTTGTACACAATAACATAAATCTTTAGGATTATGTAGTTTTCTTGTTTAGTGGAATTCCGTGGATTAACTTTCAAACCTTGTAGAAAAGTAATTTTAGAAATATGATAAGTTTTTTATTCTCTTGGATTTTTTGAAGGACACCAAATTCAAATGAAATAATAAAATTGGTGAAATACTAAAGAGTTGAGTTAAATGTTTTTTGTTTCTTGCCTAGGAAAAGTAAAATCCACAATAAATAAATACATTGTTTGCTTGAATCTTAAATTCATTTAAGAATTTTTTTTATTTGCATAAGTTAATTCAGAATTAATTAAACTGCCGTAGAGTCAATGAGAATGAGAGAGTTGCAACTTAGCACAAAAACGTAAGTGTTACAAAATTATGCATTATAGATAGGATTATCATTTAATTATTGGTTATTACTTAATATTTATAGTAAACAATTTAGAACATTTAATTATAATTATTAGTATCATTTAATTTTTTTATCAGCTTTCAATTAATATATATACATACATATACATACATATATATATATATATATATATATATATATATATGGTGTCTATATTATTCTATATTTTCTATTAACTTTAAATTTAATTTGCTTTTAGTTAGATTCTTATAGGTTCTTTAAGATGGATAATAAGTATTTTTGTTAGATAAACTATGAATTTATGTTATTTATTCAAAATAATCCAAAATTTTCAAAATTTCATTATTGCTCTTAATATATATTATGTAGCTTTAAACGTAAAAAAAAAATGTAATTGATTTGGTAAATTTGGTTTATCTGTTTTATGCCCTATTTTTATCAATGTTAGGAATGGAACAATAGGAAGGGATGAAAGATAAGAAGACTCCAAAATGGAAGAGATCGTAAAGAATGCTTCAAAGTCATATTAACCAGTCAGAAAATGTGTACGATACGACCTTTGGAGATGCAATTCATTATCTATTATGTATTTTTTTAGTCAAAGGTTAAGGACTTAAATCATATATTTTTTAATATTCTTAAGGATTAAATTATGTTCAAAATTATATACTTTTATCATTTATTCTTATAAATATAAATATTTCAAGTAAAAAAAGAACATAATACAGATTATGACTGTGAACATGTACAAAACCTTCTTTAATTAAATATCATATATAAATATATCTATTAAGCATTTACAAAGATTTATTAGTGAATGCGTATGTTAAAAAAAAAATATTGGAAGAGTTAGAATCTATTTTAATAATCACTGTGGTCAAATTATATAATTTGAGACCGTCTGTTAATTCATAATTTGGAGTTAAAATTGTGCAATTTAGTTTCTCTTTTAATAATCACTGTGGTCAAATTATTGTTTTTTGTAATTCAATTAAAAACACGTGTGACAATACATAAATTATAAGTTAATTTCTCTACCAAAATTTGATAGAGATGAAGGATAATTTAAATTATTATATTTTTTAATATTCTTTTTATTACTTTGTAAAGTAAATATTTATTTATTATTGTGTTAAAAACATAAAACATATTAAATAATTTATTCATTCAATAATTAGAAAAATATAAAATAAATTGTAAAAAAATTAAATTATTCATTTAAATTTAGTTGCCACACGGCTTTACATGAGAGATGCTATAGTATACCTGACCTAATCGAAGCTCTGTATATAGTCATAATAAGTCTAAGAAGCTAATTGCATTCTCTCTTTTGTGTTTTTAATGTAACAGTTAGCCCAATCTAATCTTGTCAATGGTCAGGTTCCTTTGATTGGAGGAAAGTAATTGAGTTACATGCAAAACTATTCTGTGTGTGTGTGAACTTTTTACAAGGAAAACAAAAACATTTTCTTTATGTATGACTAGCAAATATTCTATGAATTGCACTGATATATAAGAGAGAAAAGAAAGGTAATTAAATTAATTACAAGGGAAATGAGTCACAGAGGTAACTAATAATGTAAGTTGTAATTACTATTCAAATTGTGGGAAATGAGGGGTGGTAGATATAGTTATTCTACGAGGGGATATTGAATGAGTTTAGTATTAACAATAGCTGAAGATGCAAGAAACAATTGCAATGAAGCAAAGAATAAATGCAGAAACATAAAGCACATAAAAAAGAAGCATTTTAATAACATATGTTTTAAGCATAGAATAATTATAAATTTATGTTAAGGAAAGTATTCATGAAAACTTGCAGAATCTAACTTTTCTTATAGAGATCTCCAAAGTTGTTGCGGGTTGGAAAAAGAAGGCACACTTCACTGCAAGTTCATGAATAGAGTTTTTAGATAATTTATTAAACCTTCTCATTCTTCTTCTTGACCTTGTTGGTGCCCTCCCTCACTTGTGAAATTTGAAGTGCATTCCAGCGTTACCTTAGCATACTCACCTTCATACGTGTAATCCTCAAGTCCAGGTAATAGCTTTCTCATATTTCTCATTTCAATAGCATAAGCACACTACTTTAATATCTGTTGAGGGGAAAGGAATTTTGTAAATAATCGTCAGTTTGTTGCATGTTAAAGTCATGAAATGGTCATTGTAATTTTAAGTTAAATATACGCATTAATATTAGGAATCAAAGTTTAGAACACTTCATCACAAATCAACAGTATCATCCCTTGTCATGTCTTTATTCTAACCTCATTATCTAATACTTTTATAACTACAACCCTTCTTATAATGTTTGAAACACAGGCTCTACAATTGTGATTTCTCAAACTACCAATGTTGAAATAAGATAAAGTTAACTAAATAAAATATATATAAACTTGCAAGAATATGAAATCAACATATCTTATTGAAAATAAATAACTATCTAACCTTGTGACCAACTCCACATGCAATGTTCTTAATATAAACATCATGGCAACCAAATCCGATGGACATTATCATCATTAGTCTTTACATTAAAAAAGCTGATTTAGTGAAGACAATTAGAGATGGAAGTAATTTTGTTTGTATTAGAGACGGAAATAAAAATAACTTTTCATAATTGGAGATAAAATGTAGCAAACAGAGAAAAAAAAAAGTTTTATATATTAGAGATAGAAATGGTTTGTCTCGACATTTTTGTCTCTATTTAGCCTATTAATAGTATAAAACATAATTTAGAGGCAAAATTTAGTTATCTTAAATTTATTTCGTCGCTAATTAGTCAATTAAAATTAAATATATACTTGTGACTAGAGTTGAGACATTATCTGTCTCAACTTTTTTTTTCTAATTTATTTTTTCTTTAATTAGAGTAAATAATAGTTTTCTTCAAAATATAAGTTATCTAATGATAAATTAACATATTTAATTTATTATTTCAAACAAAATTACTTGTTAAATTATATTTTGATTATTTTTAGTTTATATTTACTAGTAGAAAAAAAGCTTTTTACATCGGTTAAAAGAGGCCTTTTACATCGGTTCCGTAACCGATGTAGATATAGGCGATGTAGAAAGTTCAGGACTTTTTATATCGGTTGTTAAAAATTGATGTAAAAAGTGTCACTTTCTACATCAGTTGTTTAAAATAACGATGTAAAAAATGTTCTTAATGTTCATCTTCGTCAATGACATTAGTATTTCTCTTCTCTAAGAGTTTTAACGTTTGCATCAATATTATCAATTTATTTCTCAAGTTAAATTAAAATCCATAAACATCAATGTTTATGGTGCTCGTCGTGTTCTTCATGTTCATCGTGTTCGCCGAATTCTTCATATTTATCGTGTTCTTCAAGTTTTTCATGTTCGTTGTGTTTGTCGTGTTAATTTTGTTCGTCGTGTTAATTTTGTTCATCGTGTTTGTTGTGTTCGTCATATTTACTGTGTTTATCGTGTTTCATTATTGTTCATCTTTATTTAAATCTGAAACATAAAGAATATGCAATGTTCATCAAATCGTTTATTAAGGAAGAAGAAACAACAAAAAGTGAAACAACCAAAAAATGAAAGAAATTAAAATAATTTATGTACCTGGAAAACCTTTACACGTTTGTTGTTCACCTAGCTAATAGAACAAAAGTTTCAGAAACTTAAGAAAAATATGTGTTCGAGTCTCCAATTTATGCTATTTCACTGGCGCATATCTAAAAATTTGAAATTTGAATTGATTCTCAAAAAGTAGAATGTACAATTTAAAAATGCCACCTCATTTTTTTATGTAAAACGGTTATTTTTACAACCGATGTAAAAAGTATTTTTCACATCGGTTCTTCTAACAAACTCATGTAGAAAAGTTTGCAAAATTTTCAAAAATGCTGCCGCATCTTTTTCTACCTCGTTTCACAAAAAATCGATGTAAAATCCTGTTGTAAAAAATGTTTTTTGTACTAGTGATTTTTAGTACTTAATTTTTTTATCTAACAATTATAGAAAATTATTATTATTTATAAAACTTTTACTACACTTATTTTTTATTTATAAATTTTATTGAAACATAGAGACCGTTCTTATTAGTACAGTCAAATTAAAATTGTTCTTATTATGAATGTATAAGTTGCAAGTTGATAACATATGGTTAAACATAAACTTTCTTTTAAGTTTATTTTATATTTTAATTTTTGTCATCTACTTGAAAAATTTTGGTTTGAGTCGTTGTAATTTTAAAATAATATAATTTAAGTACTTATTCATTAATACTATATAGAAATACTTATTAAATGATTATTGGCATACGTTGTCATACAAATCATAGATAAACATGTGTACTTCTCCCTTTTAATCATATTTTAAAATATGATTTAAACAATTAGTCAATTAAATTTAAAAATATAAAGTGTGATCATGTGATTGTACATACTTTATATACAAGATATTTAGTTAAAATGCATGTATTCAATATTATTTTTTTACGGCTTCTTTTACTGTATTGAAAATGCCTTTTGTGATATATTGATGATTACTACATAAATTCCTTTTACTGTGATAGGCACATTGTTGATTCTTTAGTGATTCATAGATACGAGTTGTTGCAATCACTCTCTATGTCAAAGCATCAACACTGCAGCATCTTTTTGGGTACAATTTAGGCTTTATCTAACTTTTTCTTTTGATTATTCAATTTCTTTTTTTCTTTACTTATACCATTATTACACAATAATATATGCTGACGTGTTATATGTATGATTAATTGCATAGTAAAAATGATATTTATATATAATATGATATAAGTTTTTTTATTTTAAATTTTAACTTTTTTTATATATTTAACTTTTTTTTTTCTTAACACTACTATCGTCTACAACTATAATATTAGAGTAGGTTTGTTTACTATTTTAAAAAAGTTTTCTCTTTTCAAAAATTAAAAATTTATTTATTTTTAATTTTTTTAAGAATAACTTTTTTAAAAATTGTAAACAAACATGTTCTTTGTATGTTTTTATTCTTTTTAAGTTTAACATATTCTTGAATTAATTATACAATAAAAAAGTTATATTGTATAAAGAACACTTTACGGCAGCTGTTTTTGGCGTGGGTGAAGAGTAACATTTTGCTGAAAATGAGCTTACTAGTATGCAATAACTAATTTCTCAATGACTAATATCTTAATAAAGTGAATTATAGAGACCAATTATTTATACATAAAAAAAATAGAGATCATTTACTTTTAACAAAATAAGTAAATTTATTCTTACTCTTTATTTTGTTAACATAATTAATTATTTTAATTTATTAAATTTTAATGTATAAAAATAAAATATAACAAACTTTATCTAGGTGTAATACAAAAAATTATTAAATATTTTTTAAAAGTGGAAAGATATGTAAAGTAAGAAAGTGATTTATTTATTCATGGTTTAAATTTAAATATTTTATAAAAATACTTAATACAAATTGAGGATGAA